TATCTATAAAATTGAGAATGGAAATGGGAAATGTGTCAAAGAGACAACAACCCGACCAAAGAGCAAGAAACAGCCCAAGGCCACCAATGGGTCTTCAATACAGCGAGAAAATCCCGCACCCGTAGGCGGGCTTCAGCAGGCCCATAAACAAAAATGTGTACTACCCTTATGGAACTGAATTGTTTGCCGCAAACTTGCAGCAGACTTGCTGCAAGCTTGCGGCAAACAAAAAGTTTGCAGGAACACAGAAAATAGTGTTTGCAGATGTTTGCCGCTAGCTGCAAACTTCCGGCAAACATTGCAGCTTTTTGCTGCAAGCTTGCGGCAAGTTTGCAGAAACATCAATGTTTGCCGTAAGATTGCCAGAAAGTTTAAAATTATAAAGAATGTTTGCCGCAAGATTGCAGAAAACTTTGACCATTCTATATGTTTGCCGCAAGATTGCTGAAAACTTTGACCATTCTATATGTTTGCCAGAACATTGCAAGAATTACACAATATTGACTGGGCATGCCTAGTTGGCACTTCCTGGAAGTTATCAATTTGAAATTGTGGCTAGGTCATGTTGGTTGTGCTTGGAAAATGCATTTCACAAATAAGAGATCAAGGAGGCATTTTGGTTCAATAGATAAAGATATTCAGTATGTAATTTTGTAAGTACAAATTATTCATAGAATGTTTTAATAAAATAATTAATGTTATCATCATACATAATAAAGTAAGCAACTATATATACATGTATGTGTGTAATGAAAAACTTTAGCTATTATAAGTTTGAATTTTGTAACTGATGTACTGTACCATGTTTATTAAAACTAAGTTCAATTCTGTTATGCAATTGTTACCTAGCTTTATTCTCAATACACATTTGAGATTTATCTTTTTTCATTTCTTAATACAGGTATATGATGTCATTTGAGAATGACCCCTGCCCCCTTTTTCAAAACTCAAATGCATGTATGTATTTCCTTAAATCTCGTAATTTTGCAAGAACTCTTTCAATGACTGTTTGTATACAGGCATGAATTGATTTTTTAAAAATGTTGCTGTGTAATTTGAAAGAGATAAATTGAATATGTCTACACACATGACATTGGTATAATGTGTAGTTCCTGCAAGTTTGCCGCAAGTTTGCAACAAACAATTGCCGCAAGCTTGCAGCAAACAATTGCCGCAAGCTTGCAGCAAAATCTAATTTGCATAATTATGTTTGCAGCAAGCTTGCCGCAACCTTCATTTGCATGGTAAAATGGTTGCGGCAAGTTTGCAGCAAATGTTTGCTGCAAGCTTGCGGCAATGTTTGCTGCAAACTTGCGGCAAATGTTTGCCGCAGAGCTTATTTTTCGGTAAGGGTAGTTCAGTGACAATGGACGTCACACTAAACTCCGAAACATATAAATGAACTAAAATTAAAAAAAACCATACAAGACTAACAAAGACTAGAGGCTCCTGACTTTGGACAGGCGCAAAAACAGGCGCAAAAATGCGGCGGAGTTCAACATGTTTTGTGAGATCTCAACCCTCCCCCTATACCTCTAGCCAATGTAGAATAAACAAACACACAGCAATACGCACAATGAAAACTCAGTGTAAAAGAAGTTCGATTCCGATGTCAGAATAGGTAACTGAAGAAACTAAGCAAAATGACAATGATACATAAATTAACAAAGGACTACTAGCAGTTACTGACATGCCAGCTCCAAACCTCTATTAAACTGATTGAAAGATTATGTCTTCATCATATGAAAATCAAGCACAATCCCTCCCGTTAGGGTGAGGTTTACTTTGATAGAAGAGTTCCTCGGACTTTCCAGACAATAGAATGAACAACAGAGGAATATAGTTTCCATTTTTAATCGACTAATGGTATAAACACTGCCTGTAACCGAGTATGGCAGAAAGTGATTTTCCCCCGATTACAGTTCTGATTTTCCTCGATTGATTACTGATTTTCCCAGATTTTCCTTTGTTGAGAACATCAAAAGGGTAATTATATATGAATTAAAGAGAATCTGTGTCAATAATTATGCAACCTTCCTTTTCATTCATACATTCTTATCATTGACCTCCTATGCCTCCCATGTGCAATATGGATTTTGATGACCAATCCTAAAAATAGACACTTTTCTGCAGCAAGGAAGTCATGGTAAGTGATTTTTTGTATATTATGTAAATATCTAAATGCTATTACTCTAAGTATAGAATACTTATTTAAATGTGCAACTTAAGTAGACTTAGATCTGGAAGAAATTTTTTATGGAGATTAGGAAAATACTATGAAAACCTATAATTTCAATTTCTGATGCAGTGTACTGATTGTCCATGATCAGTGTACAGATTGTCCCAGATAAGATGAAGTTAATTACAGATTTTCCCTGATTTGCTCTTATAGTATCATAAGGAAAAAGGTTCTTGTTAAGGTTATTTTTAACTGTTACTTGCAGGAAAATGCCAACATACAAATGCTTTTATTGCTTGCAAAAGTATTTCATCTTTGAAGAAATAGTAGCTCACCATCAGAAGACACATCCATCTGAGAAACTTGCCATGTGGAGAAGATTTGAAGAGGGTGGTGAAAGAGATTATAAAAGCAGAACATACCATGCATTCATTCCAGAACTTATTGACAGAGAAGGAAAAACCTTTCAAATACAGGACGAAAATATTTTAATTTGTAATTTATCAACAAATACCCCTCAAAAGATTATAAAAAAACCAAATCATCACAATCTCCAACCATTTCAGACAATTTACCAAATTCACCAAACTATGAATCAAGAAATATACAAGCAGCAAGTTATGAACCCCAAGCAAGAAGAAGCCTGTTTGAAGTTTCTGAAGCAACCAATGAAATGTGTGACACTATCAATCATAATTGGGATACTGCAGATGACATGGAATTCAGTGAGTTTGGTGATGACATAATACAACTAATCCCAACTGTTATATCCTCATTAAAGCAGGCTGGTAGATCTGAAGCATTCACAAAATTCCTGAAACTTGTGACCGAAGATAAATTTCCATTAGATAATATTGTTTTTTTTATTGTTTCTTGATGTAGTAACTTGGTATTCAGAAAGCAATTCAAGCCAAATGAAATACGATTTCCCAGAAACCGTTCAGTTTTGGAGAATTGGCCACAAGTTGTTTCATGGACGCTTTTTAAGATTCATGTCAGGTCCAAAAAATCAGGGGCAAATATTACAAGGAATAACATACAGAGGGGTATATGACCCACAGGAATCCCAAATTAATTTTGCTGTTCCAAGCGCTCAAATACTAAGGAAACTTAATCCTTTTCAAAAGGAAAATTTGATGCCTGGTATCATCGAAAAAACTCTAGAGACCCTGTCAATGCAAAATGAAGGCAAAACATTTAAAATTGCTGTTGATGCAAAAAAGATTTCAAAAGGTAGAGGCAAAGTAATGGGTGATATTGATCTCTTTGGGTTTGAAAAAATATCATTAGCCAAAAAGAAAGCGCAATTTGAAGAAGACATGAGACTTGTAGAACAACTTATATCCCACATTGATAAGTACAACACAAGATACTTGAACAACTCTGATACGTACAAAACAGATGATACGATTCACAGCATGAAAAGAACTATAAAAATGATCACAGAACGGGTTAAGTCACTCAGAGAAGTTAAATTATCTCTACAAAGATCAGTTCAAAAGTTTGTTTCAATGGCAGAAAAGGACGGAAAGGATTGGAAAAAATCTAGCCTTCTAAATGTTATAAGTTCACTTAAAACAACACTATACGATGTAAATAGTTGTATCAATAAACTCCTTCAAACTATTGATAATTTTGGATACTATGTTTCAACACTTCATGAAAAGCAAAATGTGTATGTGCATGGAAAGTATGTGAATCTTGATATCCAGGAAAACTACTTTGAACTTATTGAGAAGAGAGAAGCATCAGCACCTAGGTTTACAAAACAAAGGACGAATGAGTGGTTTGATCTCCGAAAAACAGCAAAGGTAACAGGAAGTACCATAAATTCAGCTCTCGGACTTGATACAATTAAAAAACAACAAGAACATTTTGATTATGTTATACATGGAAAACCGAAAAAAGAGCCGAATGAACAGCAAATGAAAAACATGAAATATGGTTCAGAAAACGAAATTAATGTAATTGCAACACTTGTTGGGAAAATACTTCCTGTTTATTTTCCAAATTTAAGTTACATAGAGGAAGGTTACTATATTCTGCAAGAAAAAGAGTCAAACTTTATGATAGTAAGTCCAGATGGAAGTATTCGGCGTTCAGTCTTTACAGATGCCTCTTTGGGATTTGAGGCCAAATGCAAAACATCAAATATACATACTATGCCAGTCTATTATAAAATACCACACTATTATCTTCTTCAAACAATGAGTGAAATGAAAGCTCTTGATGTTACAAGTCTTATATTTATTTGCTGGTCTAAGGAATCAGCCGTTTGCTTTCTAATAAAATTTGATGATGATCTTTGGCAAAAGTCTTGGAATTCCATACTGGATATTTATGGACCAGAATCTCCAAAAAGACCAAATAAGAAAACTAAAGAAATACAGGATATTCAGGATATGATAAAAAAATCACTTGATGAATGTGTAGAAGTTTTAGGTGAATTTCCATCTTGCTTTGCTGAGAGTTCATTGTCACATTCAAATGAACCAGAAACAACAAGTTATTACAAAATACCAGAAAAACGTAGGGTTCAACAGAAAGACATCAGACTTGAAGAGGTTGAAACAACATTACATGACCTAAAGAAGGCATTAGCAGATCAATATCAACTAACAAGAAATTTGGCAACAGAAATACTCGTATTTGTTATGACTGATCTGGACAGAATTTTTAGTTTTGAACAGACAAATTCTCATATCATTGCATATGGCATGAAAGGGGCTAGTTTGTTAACAGAAACATACAGACATATGTTACTATTTTTGCTAAAACAATGCTTTAAGAAAGGTTTTCATATTCCACTAGTAACTTCTGATTCAGCTTTCCAAAGAGTTGCAGTACGAAGTTCAAATGACTTGCCTTTAACACTGCTTCAGTTGCAAAAAGATGTTTGGTTAGAAATAAGAGGCATGCAAAAATCATCTATAATAGCCAAATTCAGGAAATTGAACATGTTTAATGACATTGACTTTGAAAAAACAGAAGAAATGTACATGGAAGAGAGAATTGAAAATAGACAAAGAAAAGCTCAGGTGCACAGAAAAATGACAATAAAGCAGAGAGATGATAAAAAAACCTAAAAATTATGCCTAGCGACCATACAAGGTCAATGATAGTTCAACATTACAAAGCTGGCGTGGTTGTTCAGGACTCAGATGATAAAGAAAAAAATTGGGAACAAACAGACGATTCTGTTGATGACATACTCAACTTTATACCTGATGAAATTCTTGCAAATGTTGATGAGGAGACTTTAAGAGTTGCAGAATCCTTATTGAAAGAAAATATTGAAAGAGAATCAGTAAAAGAGCATGAACAATTTGGATCGATATGTCAAGACTTCCCTCATTTGGATGATAATGAACTTTCTAATGTTTTATCAAACTTGGAGATTGATAAGATTACAGTGAACAAGGAGCCTGAATCTGATGGTAGCCCTGGTCAGCAAGCAGTTCTGACAAGTCAAGACTATCAGCTTATGTTAAATCATCTCAGAACTGACAAAAGGTCAGGAAAACCAGAAAAATGGACCCAAATGGACCTCGAAAATTTTACAGCAATCTTCGTTCAGAAAAAGACTGTTGAACAAAGTTTTCAAAAAATTGATCTCAGGATATGTATTGAATGCATAATACCACAACTGAAAGAAAAGAACATTTCCTATGGACTGTCTTGGTCAAAATATAAACTTGTAGCTTTATTTCATGGGCTTGCAAATGGAGATTTGGACAGTGCAATGATGAAAACAAAGAAGACTAGTAAAAAGACAGTCTTGAAGCTACGAGACATGTGTACTAATATCATCCAGTCATTCCCAAAACTTATATTATGCAGTATATATGCGGAACATATTTGGCCAGATAGAAAAACAGAATGGAAAGCAACAAATATTTTTGCTGATAAAACTGTTATCAATGGATTAAATGAAAACATCAGCTGGTTCTCAAAACCAGAAGTTATAACATTTGAAAACAAGGAACATGTACTTTTCTGTGTAATTGATGCTCATCATAAATTGTGCAGTTTGCGTGTTAAGGTTTGTTCATATGGATTACAAGTTCTAGGTATACAAAAACAAGCATGGATTGATGCTGCAAGATCTGATACAACTCAGTTAAGTCTACCATTAGTTCTTGACTTGATTGACAAACAAAACAATGCTTTTGCCTTAAGAACATTTGGGGAGGATGTTGAAAACTTTATGAAAAGCCATAACTACGAAAAAGAAGCCAACTTATGCAATCTAATAAGGAATTGGTACAGAGCAGAGGATAAAGCAGGAATTCAAGCACTGGAAAGAGTAAATTTACGCCTTAACTTGTTAAATTGGTTGAAAATAATAGGCCAGAAGCAACTTGAACACTTTCCACCACCAGGCAAATACATAAGTGATATTCCTGCAGTACTCTGGGAAGGTCTCATAATCACTATTGAAAGGAAATTGCAGTTGTATCCATTTTGTAGTGGAGGTTCCTACAATTCACGGGCAACAGGGACACTTGAAGTGGAAAATTTATTTCAAAGTTTCCAGGAACTTGATCCTGCTGGGAAGGGAGTTTTAAAGCCTGACGATGTTCCAGCTGCCCTAGGAACAGCCATTGAAGTCGACAACTACAGATTGAATCCAGATAGGTAAATATCTAATCCTTTTAAAGTTAAGTATAAGCTTCATCAGGTACAAAGGAGAAATGTTTGACAGCATCATAGCCAAAAAGGACTTAAACAGAAAACAAAGAACTATCTGAGGGTTTTCAACCTTAGCTGCAGTTCAGACTGTTATAAGTATTGCACAAGTAATTCATACATGTACAACACATGATGTAGAAAACGGTTAAAACAAAAACAATGTAACAATGTTATATGAGCTGAAAATAAGTGACTTTAAAATCCAACATGCATATTCAGAAGTGGTCGCTTAAATCTAGCCGCATATTCTCTTTCAAAAAAGTTAATGCAAATTTCCAATTTACTATTGAAATAAAAACATTTTCAGTTTACTTAAAGGTGTAATACCACCAAATCATAGTACGTCACATCCGGTTGCATACGAAAATAGGTCGAAAAAAAATATTCCCTTGCATTTGACAGTTGTAGGTAATTGATCCTACATTTCATTGCAGTAAAACATTTCTGGGTAATAAACATATATCTTGGGTATTTCAAAGCACAATTATTTTTTTATTTGGGGTTTCTATAGAATATTTTGGAAACTTGAGGTTACATGGTTACTAAAGCTTGTACACAGGTTAAAAAAGGGGGAAAATTTGATTGGTTAACTTCCAGTGATGGTTATTTTCTTATATGCAATGAAATGTTATGTGAAATTTTTTCTATAGTACTGGACAGGATAAAACTTTACTCATGCCAAGTATTTCTTTATTTGAAACAAAGATAAATTCTGCACAATTTTTTGAAAAGTGCAAATTTAACAAAGACTAATAGGGGAAAATCAATGGTGGTATTACACCTAATATGGGAAGCTGTACATGCACCTTTGACCTTGTGAGTACTCTCATGTGTTAAAATTTCTTGCTATTTAAGTGAAATATTACAAATAATGAAATATTCTGAGTGGATTGAGTCTCCAAAACACATTTTATGAGAAAATTTCCTTGAAATAGGACTTTACCATGAATATTAGTTGACAGAACAAGCCATACTTAGAGTTTTTGGGAGCTTTTTCTCCTTATTTCTTATATTCTGCTATACAAGAAAATTTTTCCTAACAAATACTTTAATAAATATATAGTTTTAAGTAAATGAAATTATTTTTAAAGCAGTAACAACAAATTATTCACCAAAAGAGAAGCTTTTTATGTCCCACTCTGGAACGCGGCGTAAATTTAAGTTTTACGTAAGGACTTATTGAAACCTCCTTGGAGACAGTAAACTTTTATACGGATAGTTCATTCAGCTTAAATACTTCAATTAATCATTTATTATAACATTTCTATCATAAATGAGTGAAAGTTACCCCACATTTTTTTATTTATTGGCCTAAAAAGTAGAAATTTTGAGGAAATGAGAGGTATAAATGGACCAAAAGAGACCTTATAAGGAAGAAAAAGAGGTCCATTAGTAGTATTTATCATCCTAAAGTCTTCTTTTGTATCATATTCAACTGTTTGTAGGCAGATGAGATAAATATTTGATAATTTATTGGTCCACACTATATTCTATCATGATGCGGCTTGGTTTGGATTTTTCGAAGAAATTTTGCTCGAATCGCTGTAGATGTCGTCTTACATTATACTAGATTTTTCTCAAACTATTGAACTGATTATGACAAAACTTGACAGGAATGCTTGAAATAACCAGTATTACAAAGGAAAAAAGTCACATTCAGTTTATTTAACAAAAAAGTCTTCTTTAGGTGTAATACCAGCAAATCATAGTACGTCACATCCGGTTGCATACGAAAATAGGTCGAAAAAAAATATTCCCTTGCATTTGACAGTTGTAGGTAATTGATCCTACATTTCATTGCAGTAAAACATTTCTGGGTAATAAACATATATCTTGGGTATTTCAAAGCACAATTATTTTTTTATTTGGGGTTTCTATAGAATATTTTGGAAACTTGAGGTTACATGGTTACTAAAGCTTGTACACAGGTTAAAAAAGGGGGAAAATTTGATTGGTTAACTTCCAGTGATGGTTATTTTCTTATATGCAATGAAATGTTATGTGAAATTTTTTCTATAGTACTGGACAGGATAAAACTTTACTCATGCCAAGTATTTCTTTATTTGAAACAAAGATAAATTCTGCACAATTTTTTGAAAAGTGCAAATTTAACAAAGACTAATAGGGGAAAATCAATGGTGGTATTACACCTAATATGGGAAGCTGTACATGCACCTTTGACCTTGTGAGTACTCTCATGTGTTAAAATTTCTTGCTATTTAAGTGAAATATTACAAATAATGAAATATTCTGAGTGGATTGAGTCTCCAAAACACATTTTATGAGAAAATTTCCTTGAAATAGGACTTTACCATGAATATTAGTTGACAGAACAAGCCATACTTAGAGTTTTTGGGAGCTTTTTCTCCTTATTTCTTATATTCTGCTATACAAGAAAATTTTTCCTAACAAATACTTTAATAAATATATAGTTTTAAGTAAATGAAATTATTTTTAAAGCAGTAACAACAAATTATTCACCAAAAGAGAAGCTTTTTATGTCCCACTCTGGAACGCGGCGTAAATTTAAGTTTTACGTAAGGACTTATTGAAACCTCCTTGGAGACAGTAAACTTTTATACGGATAGTTCATTCAGCTTAAATACTTCAATTAATCATTTATTATAACATTTCTATCATAAATGAGTGAAAGTTACCCCACATTTTTTTATTTATTGGCCTAAAAAGTAGAAATTTTGAGGAAATGAGAGGTATAAATGGACCAAAAGAGACCTTATAAGGAAGAAAAAGAGGTCCATTAGTAGTATTTATCATCCTAAAGTCTTCTTTTGTATCATATTCAACTGTTTGTAGGCAGATGAGATAAATATTTGATAATTTATTGGTCCACACTATATTCTATCATGATGCGGCTTGGTTTGGATTTTTCGAAGAAATTTTGCTCGAATCGCTGTAGATGTCGTCTTACATTATACTAGATTTTTCTCAAACTATTGAACTGATTATGACAAAACTTGACAGGAATGCTTGAAATAACCAGTATTACAAAGGAAAAAAGTCACATTCAGTTTATTTAACAAAAAAGTCTTCTTTAGGTGTAATACCAGCAAATCATAGTACGTCACATCCGGTTGCATACGAAAATAGGTTGAAAAAAAATATTCCCTTGCATTTGACAGTTGTAGGTAATTGATCCTACATTTCATTGCAGTAAAACATTTCTGGGTAATAAACATATATCTTGGGTATTTCAAAGCACAATTATTTTTTTATTTGGGGTTTCTATAGAATATTTTGGAAACTTGAGGTTACATGGTTACTAAAGCTTGTACACAGGTTAAAAAAGGGGGAAAATTTGATTGGTTAACTTCCAGTGATGGTTATTTTCTTATATGCAATGAAATGTTATGTGAAATTTTTTCTATAGTACTGGACAGGATAAAACTTTACTCATGCCAAGTATTTCTTTATTTGAAACAAAGATAAATTCTGCACAATTTTTTGAAAAGTGCAAATTTAACAAAGACTAATAGGGGAAAATCAATGGTGGTATTACACCTAATATGGGAAGCTGTACATGCACCTTTGACCTTGTGAGTACTCTCATGTGTTAAAATTTCTTGCTATTTAAGTGAAATATTACAAATAATGAAATATTCTGAGTGGATTGAGTCTCCAAAACACATTTTATGAGAAAATTTCCTTGAAATAGGACTTTACCATGAATATTAGTTGACAGAACAAGCCATACTTAGAGTTTTTGGGAGCTTTTTCTCCTTATTTCTTATATTCTGCTATACAAGAAAATTTTTCCTAACAAATACTTTAATAAATATATAGTTTTAAGTAAATGAAATTATTTTTAAAGCAGTAACAACAAATTATTCACCAAAAGAGAAGCTTTTTATGTCCCACTCTGGAACGCGGCGTAAATTTAAGTTTTACGTAAGGACTTATTGAAACCTCCTTGGAGACAGTAAACTTTTATACGGATAGTTCATTCAGCTTAAATACTTCAATTAATCATTTATTATAACATTTCTATCATAAATGAGTGAAAGTTACCCCACATTTTTTTATTTATTGGCCTAAAAAGTAGAAATTTTGAGGAAATGAGAGGTATAAATGGACCAAAAGAGACCTTATAAGGAAGAAAAAGAGGTCCATTAGTAGTATTTATCATCCTAAAGTCTTCTTTTGTATCATATTCAACTGTTTGTAGGCAGATGAGATAAATATTTGATAATTTATTGGTCCACACTATATTCTATCATGATGCGGCTTGGTTTGGATTTTTCGAAGAAATTTTGCTCGAATCGCTGTAGATGTCGTCTTACATTATACTAGATTTTTCTCAAACTATTGAACTGATTATGACAAAACTTGACAGGAATGCTTGAAATAACCAGTATTACAAAGGAAAAAAGTCACATTCAGTTTATTTAACAAAAAAGTCTTCTTTAGGTGTAATACCAGCAAATCATAGTACGTCACATCCGGTTGCATACGAAAATAGGTCGAAAAAAAATATTCCCTTGCATTTGACAGTTGTAGGTAATTGATCCTACATTTCATTGCAGTAAAACATTTCTGGGTAATAAACATATATCTTGGGTATTTCAAAGCACAATTATTTTTTTATTTGGGGTTTCTATAGAATATTTTGGAAACTTGAGGTTACATGGTTACTAAAGCTTGTACACAGGTTAAAAAAGGGGGAAAATTTGATTGGTTAACTTCCAGTGATGGTTATTTTCTTATATGCAATGAAATGTTATGTGAAATTTTTTCTATAGTACTGGACAGGATAAAACTTTACTCATGCCAAGTATTTCTTTATTTGAAACAAAGATAAATTCTGCACAATTTTTTGAAAAGTGCAAATTTAACAAAGACTAATAGGGGAAAATCAATGGTGGTATTACACCTAATATGGGAAGCTGTACATGCACCTTTGACCTTGTGAGTACTCTCATGTGTTAAAA